CTGTTAGGAGTGGTTCCCAATATTTATTATTGAATACTATCGAATAAATGTGGAGATAAATGAAGAAATTAAACTGTTTTAAACCACATCATATCTCTTTTTGCGTTTTTATTCAATATGTACATATATTTATCGAAGTTGTTTTACACTTATACATGTATTAATATTAATCAGAATATATGAAAAATGGGTTATGGTTAACGAGTTTTTGTGTATGACCTTTCTTGCCACCTTTGATTTGTTTATGAAGTGACCGAATTTTATTTCTCTGTGACTTTCAAAATTCAATCTTTATCATTTGTCAACAATTATTAAGGATAGGAAAAGATTAGTCTACTTTGTTTGAACTATAAGAACTAGCTAACGCCATATGCACTGCTGATATATTAGTCTGTGTGGCCTATAAATCCACGCAAAACATCTCTATAATACAGTGATCTGCTGGTCTCACGCAGATATAGAGTTGTGGTTTTTAAAGTCCAGCGCGCTAAGGTGTAAAGTCTAGCGCTGTAGATCTAAAGTCGAGCGCTAGAGATGTTAAAGTCACATGAAACGAGTGACTGGTGAAAAATAATGTTTATCCAATTCTTGAACCAATGCATGTATATATCATAAACTTAGTCTTCTGTACACGATTTTATCATTTTTTACGCAAACATATCGTATAATCGTCAATTTTTTTTTCTCTCTGTCTGTTATGATGTGAAAATATGGCAGCTACTTAATTGTCGTGTTTTGAAGCCGTAGTTTACCGATTGTCACCTTATAGTAAACAATCAACAAAGAAGCATGGATATTGAGCACGTGTATAACATGTACAATCAGATAATAGTTCATTTTAATGACAGATCCATGCGTATTGCGATCACCGGAATTTTACGAGGAGGGTCACGCTAAGGTCACTTGCATATGGACAATATGTCGGCGAATTGCTTCCTGGAAGCAAGCAATTAAAAAAAAGTAAACTTCTTCTAAATGTGGACAATTTTAAAAAATTTCTTCAGAAAAAGTATATGATAATATATAATGAAAACTATCCATTTAGTTATAAAAACATATGCATCATTTTTTTTTTAATTTGAGGTTTCATATGACTTAAAGTCCAGAGTTGGAGATTTAAATGTAAAGGTTGTGTCCTCTCAACCACTTTTCAATCCTTTATCAGATGTTAATATCGTCGTGAAATGCATGGAATACTCGCCACTGAACGTTTTATAAAAAAACATCCAACAATCATTCAGTCAAATGCAAACCAAATGCGCAGATTTTTTTTAACAACGACTATCAAAAACATTGTTCTTTTTAAATGGATAAGGGAGATAAATCGAACGTATATTCGACATGTAAATAAACGAAACTCAACGTAAGGTTACGCAACATTCAACAACACAAAACCAATTGGAACACTAATGTTTAACCACAACAATAAATTACAAGGTTGCAAAATGAATATTAAATTGTTTACTGTTGTCTTTAAACAGGCTGCAATATCGGTAGACAATTTTACTGCATAAAATTACAGCTCCCTAACGATACGTTCGTCGAGTTTCGTCCGTTCGTAAGATGTTGAGAAACCTCTAATAAGACAAATAATTTAGGACTTAAATATATGGAAATAAGTATCATATGATTAATCGTTATAAACAATAACGCGATACATCTTCTAACGAATATAGTATAACTTTTATTGCTGATTAAAAAAAAAAACGAGAACAGAGGGTCATAAGGTCATCTATAATAACTTCCGGTTTAAGTGAGATGACAAATGATAACAGTTCTGATAGATATAGTTAAGAAAGTAGCCAGAATATGGGTGTTGATGAAATTAGAATACCAAAGAAAAATAAACGAAAAAATATTAAGTTTGAAAGAAAGACCAATTAATGTTAAACTTTCTCTCAAACATTTCTTGTTATTTTAATAAAATGCGCGACTAACAAGACGTAGTAGTAGACTTCGCATAATTAGCTTGGTTATTTATGAAATATGTGTATATGGAATATTAATTTTGTGTAAATAATATACTTTTATTAGAATTAATCATATTCAATGAGATTTTAATTGTCGCTTCAGATAGAAAAAAAATTATTGATTGTTTAGAATTCGTATTAATATCAGTAATCTCTTAATCACAGCTTTGTTTATGAAAAAGGAAGGAAAGTGTTGGTTGAATGTCAAAACTTATTTAAAACCTTTTCAGTGTTGTCAAACCTTATTTAAAACCTTTTCAGTGTCTGCGAGAGCGAAGAATATATTAAAAGGTTGTTTTTGGGGGTTAATTGCTACACAGTAAAAACAAATAATTATATAACTTAGTAAAAAAAAACAACTTAAATTTAATATAGAAACCATTTTGTATTTTTTCGAGTTTTTATATTCTAGTTAAGTAAATAACATATTGATATTTTCATTTACCAAATTAAGGCAATAAGAACATATTGAGGACGACTTTGAACTATCAAATTTAGTAAATGCATTTTATTTTGTTGCTATATTTATAGGTATTTTGTTATTAATATTCAAAAGTTTAAGTGTAGGTGTTTAGCCATTTGCGAATTGAATAATAGAGAGGTTCAAATAGTCGCAAGATATCTTGGTGGCGATCAAGTGGTGTCAACTAATGTTGAGGGCGATGGTATTGCCTCCAGAGATTGTAACTTAGCTTCTGCATCACAATTAGAACCAGCTACTAAGAACCATTATTCAGTACTCAAATGACGATTGGACAAGAACACTGGATATTGGCTTTGATTATTGGACACAACGCTGACGTTTAGATGTAAATAAAACTATACGATCACATAACTTTATATTGGTAGAGGGAATCATTCTACAACATCACAGGTAGATTAGCCTGAATTGTTTCAGCCGGTGATAACTGAGCAACCTAGTCAGGGACTCTGAATCAACAGGGTAGGTAAGCTAGGTCAGTTAGGAGTAATATCAACGACTAATGGTGGATCACATGGAGGTCGGAGAATATCAACAACTGATGGTGGATCATATGGAGGTCGGAGTTCTCAACGACTGATGGTGGATCACATGGAGGTTGGAGTATATCAACGACTGATGGTGGATCTCATGGAGGTCGGAGTATATCAACGATAGTCGGAGTAGTTGCAGTACTTCTGAATGACGGGAATTGGCGTTGCAGATAAACAAACGGATTGTTGGAGTTGACAACGACGATCGGAGGAGCAGTTCACCGGAGTCGGGGTTATGAAGACAGTCCGCAGTTGATGGTTGCGCCTTTTTCTAGAATTAAGAAGTTCCGATATTTGATGTTACGAGGAGTGTTATGATAGAACTATAATTCAACTTAGTTATTCACAAAAAGACAGTATGAACTATACATTGCTGGACATTTAGATGTTGTTGAACTTTTGAAATGATTTTGTTTATGAATATTGTTGGTTTTTATTTGGAATTTGCAAGCGTTCATATTGTCACCGATTTTAACTAAAATATAAAATTATATTTCTTAAGAAAGGGAGGAATGTGACAATATGATGGGCTTCAAAATATATATATATATATATTTATATATTTATATATATATATTTATATTCTTAATATGTTTAATAAAATTCATTGAATAAAATAACACAGGGAAATATCTATCAAGAAAATTATACAAATAAGATTTAGACTGATGGTTTTAATTCAAGGTTAAAATTATATGTACACATGTAGGCCATATGCTGACATGTTATAATAACAATTAGTTAATGAACTGGACATATGCAAGATTCACAACTATAAATTGTCCAGATTGGTAAAAACATGTCAATTAAAGTCAGCTTGATAGATATTCATCTGTGTATCTTTAGGATAAAAACTATTATTGTCAAAGTAATAGAAATTTTGATAAACTGTTATATTCAAATGAAATTGTATATAAACTATTGCTTGTACTGTTAAAAGGGGAGACCGTCCTTTATGGACACTGGTCCAGACCGGCTTGAATAAATTGTTGTTCCAAATAACCTTGTGTTGTGTTACATTAAATATCAAAACTACTATAACATTAAGTAAAGTTAACTAAATATTTCTTCTTGATTCTTAGTAATATATGTAACAGGGATACTTGAAGGAATGCTGTACATCAAGTATTTTGTTTAACAGCAAGGTACACAATGAAGGAATCATACGAGTGTTAACAACAGATGTTCAATGCGCTTCTGAATGCATGAACGAACAGCTTTGATCCATTCAGATAAAGAGTCTAGTTTCTGGTTCATCTTGCTGACCTTTTACCCTTTTTTCTTGCATAGTTCTCATCTGTATCTACCAGTTATCTAGAGTTCTTCAAGTTGATGGGCTATGGAATGGGACATTTCTGGCTTTTGGCTAATAACTCTCTAAGTTTTTCATTGTTTACGATGTAAAGGTCACCAGTTATAATCTGACCAGCAAAACTATATTTGTATTTGGATGATGCACAATATCAATCGGGAGGTTTGGATTTTACATCTCTATGGGTAAAGGTCTTTAATACCCTCTTGTGGTTAACAATTTTGGAAATAATAGGTTTGGTGTAGGTAAATGTAATGACAGTTGTAGTTTTATCTTTTAATCAGTTATTGCTTTCTGCACAGATTTTTGTAGGAAAATATTGTTAATAGTGATGGCATCCAAACCCTTATTTGAAAACTCTACATCAAAAAACTACATTTTTCATCATCTTTGGAAAAAGCTGTTACTGATTTGAATAGCTTGTTGTTTGCAATGGCCATATTTATTGCAACCAATCTATATAGCCCATTTTACCAATTTTCAATAATTTTCATAGATAAATATTGAAATTTAAATTTTCTTGTTTTCTATATGGGCTAAGAAAGGCATTCAGCCGTCAGACCTCTCTCTGACTGCAGTTGAGTTGATAAAAATGTATTGGTATCATCAATAGACAATAATTTCACAATCGTATATCAAATTTCTATTGCAAAAAGTTGTAAGAAGAGCGTTAACAATAACGTTATAAACCTCAATGAACAAACCTTGGTTAAGTGTATAACCTACTGGACAGGTGTTGGAATAACATGAACAATCCTCTTTCACAGGCGAACATTTACAAGGATCTATTGGTTTTATTATATAGTTGTATCCTTTGGTATAATCACAGCGACATGTTCTGTCTGTATTTGATGTTGCATTATCAGCAATAACTTGGCCTTCTTCTTTACAATTAGACTTTAGCAAATTACATTCAGCGCTATCGTTAGACAAAACTGGGCTAGGTGAATATCGAGGATTCTGACAGTCTTCGGCATGCAAATTTCCGCTGTAAACTATGCGTAAACCTTAGAAATAGAACATAATAACATTTGAAGATATGAAATAACGCTCCTTTTACAATACCTACATTTGAATGGCATGTATAGTGTGTGTGTGTGTTTGTGTCAGTGGTTTTACACAACTGCCCCATGTTAGAGATATGGTTAAACACGTTTGAACCCTCCACATTATGTAAGTGCCTCCCTCATGCCGGAGCTTGTAGCCAATGGTTGATGTTGATTTCTGGTTTCAATTATCGTTTGTCATTTAATTGTACTTACTTCAATCTAGCCTTTAGCTGTTCATTTTGAATTGTTGCACAAAAGGCTATAAAAAGGTCTTTTATTGCTTACAACACGGTATTGGTTTTGCTAATAATTTAAGGCAAAATGATTATTTGCAGTCGTTTACATAAGCTCATCGTAGATACCAGGATTAGAATTTGGTACATACACCAGACACGAGTTGCGTCTACAATAGACTCATCAGTGACGCTCGAATTAAAAAAAAGTTGAAAAGGCCAAATAAAGTACATCCTCGTGCTTTGCTGTTATTGTGGAAAAAGATTGCTCTGACGTCTGAATGCCTTTTTAGGATTTTCTGGGCCCATAAGACGTCAAAACGCAGTCCATATAGAAACCATCGAAATTTCTGACCCAGACTTGGTTTGGCAGAAATCTGTCTCGGAATTGTAGTAGACTCATTTTGGAATTATATGCGACTGTCAAGTGAGAAGTTGAACTAGCTATAAAACCAGGCTTCATCCATCATTTTCTACATAAGGAAATGCCGGTATGTTAGGAATATGACAATTGTTTTCCCTTCGTGATGTGTTTGTGCTCTTGGTTTTGTCATTGGATAAAGGACTTTTCGTTTTGAATTTTCCTTGGAGTTCGGTATTTTTGCTATTTTATTTTTTTCAACTAGATAATCATACATCATTCTATACCTTGTTTTTCCTCACTTATATTTTCCTTTTATACACGTATTTTAACGTGTATCTTACACGAAGTCTTTGTCTATATAAAGTTTCTATTATTAGCTTTGTCCTTTAACTTTGAACAAATGTACACTTACCAAATCCAAACATTGAGTAACTTAACCAATGTATTAATCATTTATTTTCTACTATTTGGGATGGCAAACCTGACAAAATCGAAAAAACAAACGATGTCTCATATTTGAATTGGGAATAGTAGTAGAATACTATGACAAATGTAAAGTTATAAGACTATATGCGATTTAATATTACATGCAGTTTTTATATAATTACATAAATGTAAAGGGCGTACCCATGCTGGAACCCCTTGCTTTAACTAATAGAATAATTAAAACAAGTAAAATTTTAAGTAAGAAAGATATCCTCCCAATCAAGACTGTTTGTTTTTTCAATCAATATTCTTTATTTATAAGGTTTTTCAAATGATTCAAAGAAGCAATGATATGTATTTGTCTCGATTTTGCAAATGTAACTATGGACTAATTACTGTAATTGTAACATATAATATTGGTACATGTAATTTTGAAAATAAAAACGTTTAGAAAAAAGATTTCACTTGACTGCATTATTTCATTGAACTTTGGGAGTAAACTTATGATTTTGACCATGGTGACCAGTTTATATATAACAAAACATCCCCCTTTATCTAATCTATCGTTAGCAAACGTCGCGTATGCCAACATTTTTGCATTAATTAGCCCCATGATTTAAGTAATGTGAGGAACTAACGCAATATTGCATTATATTAGTGAACGTTTAGGTAAGTCGCTGATCTTCAGGGTAAATTAAATTAAAGCTTTCGTTTTGCTACAAGGGCGATACGTGAATAAAAGGTACATAATTGTAAATAAATTTTAAAAAATAGAATGATGTATGATTTATCTTTTTACAAGCGATTTCGAGAAAGATATCTACCACTATAAGTCTAGATCGGCAATTCCTATATATACTATGTGTTGGTGTCCAACGGCCGCATCAAAAAGCATAAGTCCAACCAAACAGACCACACAATGGCCATACATTAAAAACGACAAAACTTGTTCCCTGTCTAAATTTCTCATCAAGAAATATTTTGTGTTTCTCTGATCGTTTTTTTTTTTTTTTTTTTAGTCTCCACAAAACACTCTACTAAAGACCAAAAGACATACAAGTTAGCAACTATATGTCACCATACGGCCTTCAACAATAAGCAAATCCCAAACACATAGAAAACTATAGAATACCCCGAAATGACCAATATGAACAATTCAAACAAGAAAAAAAAACAGTCTGATATATGTACAAAACAATAAACGAAAAACAAATATGAAATACAGCAACAACCGACAACTCCTGACTTAAAACAGGCACATACAGAATGAGATAGGATTAAGCAATTTTGCAGCCGATCAACCCTCCCTTAACCTGGGACAGTGGTGTAACAGCACACTATACGGACAAACTATACAAATCATTTGAAAAGGGCTGAACTTATCAGAACGATACAAAGCACAAAACAAAAAAAACAACACTAAAGACACACAGTACAAATATAAGAGTACTTGCAGTTATTGTAAGCAGTTCAAAGCCAATGACAACTAATGAAAAGTTCATTTATCCAAGACTAGAGAATCAATCAGTACATTTCTAACATCCAATGAGAGGCGAAAGATACCGAAGGGAAATTCAATCTCATAAGTCGAAAACAAATTGACAATGCAATGGCAAAAAGCGAAAAACGACCCAATGACAAACAACAGTATACAAAACACAACATGAGCAACATGAATACCATCAAAGAACGGGACAGATATCCATAAAGGTCACCCAACTAATGATGGCGTCTGTAAAATTTTCGAAGTAGGGTTTCAACTTCACCTCTTGGAACTCTTGATTTAATAGCTTACTTGTTAGCAGCAACCCTCTATCAAAGAAATCATGATAGGAAATGCAAGGTCTGGAACATAGTATCAACTGGGAGAAATATTCGCATATGCAGGCGCTGCTGGAATGATGCTTCATACAAAGGAAAAATTCACAATTGGAATGCATATCTTTTGTTGTAAAGTTTTGTTATCAACCGACCCTAATTGCCAATTTTTAGATGGAAGTCAAGATATGAGGTAGACGTAAACGTATATATTGTATCTTTTATTTCAAGTTCGATGCGATAGATGTGTTCGCCATAAACACCAAAGTCATAATTATTTAGTGAGAGGATAATGCTAGCTCCTTTCGTTCTTTCTGATAAGCTCCTGTATGAAATCAGTCTCATATGAATAAGGGAAGAAGTCGACAAGAAAGGGAGCACAGTTTGTTTCCATTGGAATGCCGATTGGTTGTTGAAAACACATCCTCCACACGTAACACATAATTTGTAAATCAAGATATCAAGCATCTTGATAATGTCGGTTTCAGAGAATTTTTTGTTTGAATCAGAGTGATTTTACCAATGTACGAGTTATCCCTCCTTCAGACAAGATACTTGTTTCTACGTTGGCCATGTTTTAATGAAATAAAGCATGAACAATTCTTTATAATTTTTCATTTAGTTAGAATGGGAAATACATGTAAAGGGTAGAAAAGTCAAATGTTTTTAAACTATTGCAAGAGGAAAGAGACTTAGGTTGTATGTATTCCATAAAATTGAGAATGGAAACGGGGAATGAGTCAAAGAGACAACAACCCGACCAAAGATCAGAAAACAGCCGAAGGCCACCAATGGGTTTTCAACACAGCGAGAAAATCTTCAGCTGACCCCTAAACAAAAATGTGTACTAGTTCAGCGAAAATAGATGCACACTTAACTCCGACACATATAAATGAACCAAAATTAAAAGAAAAACATACAAGACTTACAAAGGCAAGAGGTCCATGACTTGGGACAGGCGCAAAAATGAGGCGGGATTAAACATATGTGTGAGATCTCAACTCTCGCCCTTTACATCTAGACTATGTAAGATAAAAAAAACACACAGCAATACCCACAGTAAAACTCAGTTTAAAAGAAGGCCGAGTCGGATGTTAGAATAGGTAACAGAAGAAACTAAGTAAAATGACAATGATCAACATAAATTAACAAAGGACTACTAGCAGCCTTTTTTGTTATTGCACTGACAAATGTTTTAGTATATATATCCGCATTTGATTCACGCTTTCCTGAGAGTTAGTTTCACAGTGGCTTTGAAGCTAGGCTTTAATGCTGATAAAACTGATGTAAATAATTTAGAAAGCAGTTTCGTTGAGAACTTAGATGACCCAGCAATATAGCATTGTGTGTAAGGTCAGCTGCATGTGCTTTATCTCCCTTATTGCAAAGAAAAGTATCTAGAAACCTACATTTGTAGAATCAGTATGAATTCAGCTCTTGGTTGGGTTCGTGATGTTTAGTCTTTGGTTTCCTATGTTGTTCTGTGTACTGTTATTTGTCTGTTTGTTTTTTTTTTCTTTTTTAGCCATGGCGTTGTCAGTTTATTTTCGACTTATGAGTTTGAATGTCCCGTTGGTATCCTTCTCCTCTCTTTTTATATGACACCGGAAGTGTCCTTTTCTTTAACAGGAAGTTGTTATAATCTCCCTTATTTCAAGTGGAAATATTTCCCCATTATGCATACAGCAATTGACACTGGACGTTAAGTAAGCAGCAATTAATCAACCAATCAAGTGAAAATACAGAGAAATCTATTGTGGGAATCGATGTTAAAGGGGCATTAGCTACGAGATATAAAAAAAATATGATTTGTTTTGTTCAATCATTAATGAAAGTGAAATAGTGAAATAATAATTCGCTTTTAGCAGCCAGTTTGCTTCAATTTTGTCAAAATAAGCTGAGAAACATCGCTGTTGAATTATTCACTTGCAAGTGAATAATTCGAACTGATTGAATACGTGTTCATGTGACCTCCAATTTAACCCCTTAGCTAGAGAAGGATTTCGCATGATTAGACGTGTTCAGTTATTAAAAGGAAAAGAATGTCAACATGAAAGTGAAACTAGGGTAAACTATTTGATTGACTGATTCGATCCACAAAAAAATCATTCTTATACAGGTATAAAAGATAATTAACATACATTTTTATCCTATAATATGAAATCAAATAGACCTAGAAAAATCCAATTGCACGAGTTCTCTTTCTATTTATATCTGCATTTATGCCTATATAGGGTTCTATGACCGTCGGCAGTCTTCGGAGGTCACCTCGATGGTTAATTAGATGGCGTCTAGGCTAAAAATACACATTTAATGCTGATTCATATTATCGAGCCTATGCATTGTAAATTGTTTATTTTAGATTTTTTTTAATTTGGATACACGTTTTAGTATGATTTACATCAAATATGAAAATGTGATTCAAATCGGTGATCATGAATTTGACAGCTAATGTCCTTTAAGTAAACAATTATCTGACACCGAAAGTAACTTTATTATCTCACTTTTTCCCATATGAAACTACCATAAACTTAAAATTTAATGTCTAATTTCAACTGAAATGCCACTTCATACGGGAAGCAACTATTTCTGTCTTTTTAAATATCAACAAATTTGAATAGCAATCTATCTTTTTCCGCAATCTGTTAGTTTTTTTTTTGGTTTTTTTGGGGTTTTTTTTTTTTTGCTGTTTCGTTTTTTTTTGTTTTTTTTTGCAACATGATCATAAGATGACATAGGTACAGTAAACGACAATCGATTGCAAAGACAGTTTGCAAAAATTACTATCTATTGTATAGTCAATTCAAATCAATTGACTACTGCTGTAGTATCAATCAATTGTTGTGTATAATATCGTCAAATATATTGCCTATATCCATGTTAAAATGAGCATAGAGCATGACATGAAGGAATTGTTTCTTAATCAGCATTTCGGGGACTTTGCTAAAATCTATATTTTCAACAGTATTGGTTTATAAGTTATGTATTATGAAGATAAAGAGTATACATTTTATCCATCTGCCATTAGATATTCTAGATACAGATTAGGTATTCATTGATTTAAAAACTGTAAAATTGTACGGTTATATAACAAGAAAATGATTTTTATTATTGCACTTTGAATTTATCTCTATTTTACATTAATAAATAAACAACTTTATCTGTTTGTGTAATTTAAGTCCTTAAGAACTAAGTTTAGCTGTTAACCAGGGAAAGATAAACATATTCAAAAACTACAATAAAGGCGTACGTAGTTCTCATAAATGTACGTCTTTGCTTTTGACAAATAGACTTCATAAAGATGGTATTTTGTAGGACCTCTGCAATTAAAATAGAAATAATTCTGTGCATAGGGCTCACCAAAAATTAAACAAACTATTTGATTTACTAAGTAAATACATATACTGTAATATTAAAACTTATTTTAAAATCGTCAATCCTGTGTCAAGATGGCGCCAAAGATTGCCGTTAAGTTTTGCTTTACAGCGTGACGTAAAGAAATTTGCTGCAAGTAGCAACACGTTTCTCATTTTGTATATAGATAAGATTGGTTTAAGTTGTTTCACACTGGTTCTTTTAGGGCCCTTTATAGCTTGCTGTTCGGTGTGAGCCAAGGCTATGTGTTGAAGGCTGTCCTTGCAAAAAACGCGTACTAAGTATAATATTTTCAAGTAAAATTTTATGAAAACCGTTTTACAATAATTATTTCCACCTATGTTGACAAAGGAACAAGTCTTTTTGGATTACACTTAGCCCAAGCCTTCCATTGGCAACGATCAAGTGGTTGTATGTTTTTATTAAGTTGATTGAGTTGATATTTAGTAATCAATCTCTTATTGAGTTGATTAAGATGATATTGTATATTCTATTGTATCTATTATAACGATCTAGGGTTTGTACTTTTTAGTTAGTTGATAGAGTTGAAAACTGGTTATCAATCGTGATCAATCGTATCAATCGATGTTTTAAAGTCAATTGTTATTGTATCAATCGATTGTCGAATACTGTACCTTAATGCATAAGATATTTGGTATATGATATTAAAAATGTTTAACCTAACATTTTTCTGACAATAGTCACAGAACAATATGGTTTAAAAAAGAAAAATCGCGTCAGCTCTGCAACCAACAATATATTTTTTTAAATATTGTATTTGATATTTTAATGAGAAAACTTTAAGTCTAAATTTGGAAATTTAAATCAAGGTAAAAAGTTGAGATCATGTTCTAAGTGTTGTCTTTTGCTTGTTGTCGCATCTGCTCCGAAAGAGTAAAAGGTAAAAAGGTAAACGCTTTACTTTAAAGTTTTCGGGATGTTGAGATGAAGATATTGAACATTTGGTTGGAAGTGATTCTATGACATCTTATAAACGTTATTTATTTTGAAACGGACGCATGATAAAGTCATTAAGTCTTTCGTTTAATGTTAAGAAGTATTGCATCTGACCTGGAAAACTGTCAACCTTGAGCAAACTGAATGCAGTTCGTCTTTACATTTACTTCAGGGAAAAGTGCCTTCCATTCCTATATTTTCAGAATGAGTGTAAAATTAACTATCTTGTGAAGTTGATATCTGTTAACAGGAAGTTGATAATTTTCTTCCTATTTTCACTCAAGAGACCTAGATACGATATGTTTGTGGAATAAGGTAACATTACCTTTTATATGACACCGAAAGTTAATGCAAACTATTTTATAAGTTACCGTGTATAAATTTTATACCGAAGAAGTGGATATAATATTGTTTCAATGTGATAAATACTAAACGTACGTATTCTGAACAATTGACATTAACATTGTCATCTAACTACTCTGCAAAATATGTTAGCCAAAGTTCTGAGGAGAAAAAACCGTCATTATTCATCCACATATAAATGAATATCGGTAATTACATTCAAATGAACACTGTAGATATTTTTGCCAAACAATGGGTTCTATCTGTGCGGTTGCTTAAAACTTTTCGTATCCCAATTACAAATTTGTTTTTGTTCCCACAGACTTATTCCCAAACAATGTCGTGTGTGTGTTAATCAGAATGAAATTACTGCTACTGCCATATTCTTTACTTAACCTCTTTTTGAATTACAAATACAACACTGCATCAGCAATCGAAACCGGGCATAGGGTTTTTCATGAAATTACCGATTCTAAAGGATGTGTGAATCAGATGTGTATGCTGAAAAGTTCCAAAAAATCTGTTCAAACTAGTTGTGTTCTGCGGTTAAAGTCAATAATTGACACTTTAACCTTTTTAATTGATCAGAAAATAAATTGCAAACAAATTAAGTACTTTTATGAATATAGCTTTAAATCAAATTGGACAAAGTTTTTTTTTAATTCCCGATTTCCATATTCAAAGATTATTAACGTTAAATGCTTACCTGATTTGTATGGTTTTGAAGATAAACAGTATTCACTATATTGTCTGTGAAATGTATCGAATAAACAATGATATTGCGTTTTATTTGCACAAAACACTTCTGCCCTCCTTCTCCATAGAGCTCTTTCTGGACAAACATGCATGATTGCTAATGACTGCAACATATCCACTAAAAGAATCTGTAATATTCATTAAATACAACTTACGTCAGTGCATTTAACGATGATGGCTTAGCATGGGTTACTCCACTGTGTAGCATTACCACCGGATATAGGTACCACCTAAGCGGTGGAAAAAACAAATGTGAAGTCAGGTAAGGTCATTTTTTTCTTATTTTCATTATATTCTAAGTTTTTCTGACAAGTAAAGTTTTGTGATATTGATTCCTAATAATGTAGCTACTATTTAGGGCTGATTATGATCCTTAATTGGCTTTCTCTCTCTTTAAATCGTCAGAATCTGACAGGGTGGTACCTCGTCAACAAAAAATGTGACGTTTTCGTAAACCACAGGTTTATCATATTTAAGATTGAACAACACTGAATTTCGAAAAAAACATTCTTTTACACAGAGAAGCGGAAACTGTACGGTGAATTGTTGTTTACTGTACGGAGATTAGAATAGGTACTTTTTGCTATCATTGTTTCTTTGCTTCGGGGTGCCTTTATTCGATGGTAATGCTACACGGTGGAACCGATAATATTTTTATATTCCATAGTTTAAAATACTGAAACTTTTGATTGGATGATGAAATGTCACTGAAGACGAATCATTGTGGGATCTTTAAAGATTTCACACGAGCGACAAAAAATTTAACGGAACACATTGAAAGTTCTGATTGTTATATGAGATTGAATAAAAATCAGTTCAAAGAATTTATAATTATAATATCTGTAAAATAGATACCAAAGTGCATGCCAGATACAATCGAGAAGACTCATCACTTTATTTGGATAAAGCTTTACAAATCTATGAAATCTTTTTACTTTCGTACAAACTTGATAGTATTGTAAATTTGGAATTTTTGGTCCTCAATGTTCTTCAACTTCGTACTTTATTTGGACTTTTTAATCTTTGATTCGAGTCGATTTAGACAAAACGTGCGTCTGGCCTTCAAAATCTTAATCCTGGCATATATGATGAGTTATCCATTAAAAAGGCGCGTAACACTACCATTATGGAAAGAAAAATTAACTAACAAAAATGCAAGGTCGTTTCGTATGTCATAATTCCTAATGCTAATCTTTAAAAGGAGACAATTACAATAAATTCTATCAGCTGTGCTACAAAAAGACAATGATTACAATTTACGTTGGACATATCTCAATTAATACGTTACGCCAGGTGACGTTCCCACTTACGGACTCCGTTGACAGGGGTGTGTTCCTTACGTAAAAGCTGTACAAACAGAGTAATGGAGCAACCATTTAACTTCAAGGGGGGAGGGGGTATGGTTTTTGTCTGAATCAGAAATTGTTTGTTTGTCATCTGCTTGACCACAGTATATTTTCTCATCAAATTGGGGATCAGAATATTGTTTCAGGAAAAAACCATAATCCCCCTTGAAGTTAAATGGTCGTTCCCTTATGAAGTGTCTTTACTCAATAGCGACATGATGTTGTGGCCTTAGATCTTTAGATACCAATATTGTCATCTGATCTGTAATTTTACCGATCGTGTCCTATTCCCGACTGTGATATATTTTTCTGAGTGTGAATTCTCATGGGTGGTGATGCATTCTTTTAATGAAATGTTTACCCTGTCGACACATCCGGTCTCGCATTTTTCGGGGTTCATTCGATTCCCTCAGTTCTGTATGTTACCTTTATTTGTCTCTTCTTAATTGATTAAAGTTTATGAGATTTGAACAACGGAAAACCATTGTTTCCTCAAATTGTAACAGTAAAAAACCTATCTGCAATATGCGATAAAAAGGGGCACTTTTAGTTCTGACTGAAAATATTTAAACAAGTAATCATTGCTTGTCATGTTAAGATAAAACTTTTTTTATGTTTTAATGTCAGTCAACTGTGAAAGACTGAACTGCATAATGATCGTAGCTAATCTTAGACTTTCAAAGTTATTTCAACAATTCAAATATGAAAAAATTATTGTATTTTAAAATATACGGGATACAGATATAAAAAGGAGATATATCAGTTTCCTCATGTAATTTAAGGAGCCAATGCATATTGGGATCCTTTTGATTTTCTGTAACAGTTTCAATACAGTACAGTCGTTTTTAAACATGCTTCGCATTGATAGTTGTCTCAGTGGCAATCATACCACATATTCTTATTTTTATATTCTCAATGATTTTGTGGTAAAAGTAAAAGTCATGACCGCACTAGAAAATGTATACGTAATCTCAGTTTTGAATATATAATACCTGTTCATACGCATGCCATATTGAAATAGGATATTATAAAATCCGAGTTATATTTGAATTATCATATTGAAATTGAAACCAGTTTGCATTTACAATTATATTTGTTATATACTAAAATCAGATGTTAGTTGAAATCGACACAATGAACCACAATGCTATGTGGGCTATTACGAGTTTACTATCACTTAATAACATGTGGAAAAGGTTAAAAAGGGGTTATTTTGTATTGTTTCTAGAAATCTCATATTTGATTTTTTGTTCATCTACTGTAATATATGAAATGTAAATAACATAATCTTCATTCGCATGCTCAGATGTTAAAAGTGTTGCTCACAAGCTTCAGCATGCGACTTGTCAAAGAATACATTTTGTTTATGTTATGCACTGTAACAGTTGCATTCATTCCGCATGAAATTGATAAAGAAGTGTCCATTGAACAGTAATTTCAATTGAACTCTTTCAAACTAATTATTAAAGTACTAAAGGATTACATGATACTATTTGCCAATGGAATTTTTTTATCCTGTATACTTTACAGCGTATGTCTTTCATAATGCAAAGAGAATTTATAAAACTTGATATCGAGCAAAACTGGCTACGAAGCACCATGATGTTCATAATAAACACCGAGTCTTTCTACACTGGTTGTGTTGACTTTTAGACTTGACATGTTATTTAAGTAATTACATTAAAATTAGTCGAATTCAGTATTTTCAATAATTTTTTTATATAGATAGACTGGGACACCTGGTTATTGTTAAAGACTTAATGCTGCACTCCAGTTGTCGTTTGGATATTTTTGTCGTTTAGTTGCTGTCTCATTGACATATATGCCACACCTCTTTCAATTTTAAGTTAAAAACATTTAAAAGTACACCATACACTCGTAAACGTGTATATACAGAAAAAGTAAGGGAAAATTACTACGTACAAAAGGAAAAAAATAGACAAAGAATTGCGCTTTCATTGTTGTTATTCATCTCACAGCTGGACTTTGTAAATATGTTGTGACTCCAGAAGTAGAAAAAACCCAATAACTTAGGATTGATGAATTGAATAATATTCTCATACACTAATAAAACAATTACTGAGACAAAAAGTATTTACAATGATAGTGCAACTTTCATTGCCTGTTGTAACACCAGAAAACATTTTCTGATAATCTATGAAGGTGTTTTTTGTTTTTGTTTTTTACAAAGTGCCCTTTATAGAGATTTATTGACCTTCGCAATGACAGAAGCAGGCTTAATATAATACAATATATTCTGTGCCAAAGAAAAAGATTTTTGAATATATTTTACAATTATTGAATATTCGCTTCCCCTATTTTACGAAGAACTGAAAAGTTCCGGATTTTCCCGTTTAAAAATCTGAATGCAAGTGCAACTAATAAGATTTTTAGTTTTTGTATCGTTTGTTTGTTGTCTTGTGAACGAACTTTTTAAAATCTTTGTTTATTTATCAATAGTACTAGTGACTAGGGTCCAAGTGTTTCGAACATTATTTTCATAGGACAGAAACAATTATTCGTCAATCTGAGCAGAGAACTAATACTTTATTTAAATGAGCCTTAAATGTAACCACATAAGAAGAAAAAGAAAGATGACATGTTTTTTTTTCAGAAATCTGTTAAAAATTCCGTTGTATGTCAGTAAAAACACGTGTTATCCGAGAATTGTAAACACGTAGTACTAGAAGTCAACCGTCATTCACCGGAATGGTCAATTACCCAGGTAAAACATTTTAAGTATTATGTAAACAAACTATTATATTGGCGGGAACATTAGTATGCTAAATTATGCATACCTGTATAAGGTAGTGTACCCGACCTGTCATAGGAAAGAATACAATATGTCTAGGTTAGTCTATAAAAAGGTATATACTATGAAATTTAGAGCGAGGGGCTTGCCCCGAGCTCTTAATTTCATAGTATATACCTTTTCATAGACTATCCAATTTAGCACATATTTACAACTCGAGTAATCTTTTAATTGGTCTATTGATAGTTTATTTTGGCTGACTACTTGTATCACAGGTGTATGTAAAACGGAGCTCATTAACGAAGTTTTGTAAATCTACTCACTAGTATCATTGTAAAATATGTGATTTCAAAAGGCCCTTGACTCCAGAATGAAAAGATGGTAGCTGCTGGTGTAAGTATGTATATTGATATAAAGTGGTGTTTCACTATACATGTTCTTCTTACATGGTAAGATGACCAAATAAATTGACCAAAAGAAGGCAATAATTAAATTGCAGTGGAAGCTTTACATGTTTTGAAAACATTTCTTAATTTCACTAAAAACTAAAGCTACAATAAATTTGAAACATATAGATAGTTTGTCCCCATAGATATAGTCTAGCAGATAGGCATTAAAAAGCAACTATCAATAGATCAGAGATTATAGGTTTTGTGTGTTTTTTTGTTTTTTTTTATTATTTCAAAGTAAAAACTAAAAGATTTATCAGAATATGTTTATATATATAATTGGCACATTATCTTCAGACATAATCACAATTTTTCAATTCATGACATCGTCCTGAACATGCATGAAATATTTGCCACTGGAAATTAAGCAACCGATAATCAATAAATCAATCAATTCATGACGAAATAGATCACCTTCCTTAAGAAAGTTTAAAAAATTATCACCAAGTTGCTTTAATTTCCCTTCACAAGGTTTCATAGTACACACTTTTTTGTGTACAAAGTAATTGCATGGATGATACATTATTACATTATCATAATTTTAAGATATCGTTGTACTCTAATCAAGGAATAAAGAACCATATGTATTACCCTTTATTTAAATGAAAGAAATAGCAATTATCAAAAACATTTTTTAGATCCAAAGATTTTAATAGCAGGATATTTAAAAATCAACGTGAAAACTAATTACAAACTATTTAATTTAATTTGGAACACAGCATTTTATTTCAAAACAGCCAGCGGTAATTTTTGATTTAAATATCTTCATTATGATACAATGAAATCTTACCCTTGTGGTCATTCATGTGTAGTTACTTAGTACACGGGAAAAGTATGTACTATGAAAATTAGAAGGCAAATATAAGCAATTTGATTGGACGAGAAGTTGTAAGTATGTGCTAAACTACGGTGAAATATTCTTACCTGAGTTATACTTAGAACAAGTACTGATTTCATTTCTTATCACGATCATATCATCAACACCACTGACAAAGAAAAAAACATATGTTTAGCTCACATGAGTTGACAGTATTCTTTTAAGAAATATCGAATAACACAAACATTATAGAATTGTGACTAATACGAGTGCACTTTACCTTATGTAATTATGATTTTGTAAAATATACAAATGATTAATGGTATCAAAGCTGAACGTTAATACACAATTTTTACAACAAGTAACTAAAGCATTGGAAAATATATGAATGTATAATGTATAAGTGAAAGGCAAATATCTCACCATTTGAGTAGAATTACTGGTACCAGGAGAGAAGAAAGGGGGATAAAAGATCTCGTTTAGTTATGTATATATATATGCTTAACTTGGTGTTGATTTCTCTTGAATTATAAAAGATCATTTTCCCATCGAACGAATTTGTTCAATTTGTAATATTTTACCTATGGTTGCAATCAAAAGAATGTCTAGGCTTTCTAATCTTATATCCCTCATGTTATATTTGATTTATAAACACGAAAAAGAAATTGCACAAACTATGCTGAAGAACCAAAATATAACTAAAAAAACAATAGCCCAATCTAAAAATACAGAGATACGGTATGAGTATGTTTTGAAGTTCATTGATATCAATCAGTACATGATTTTGACGGACAAGAGTCGGTCAAGAGCTATGCTGACAGATAGCAACATCATATTTCTGTTGATTGGTTACTATTTTGTCTACATATTTTAATTAAACACTTACATGTTTTTTGAAAATCAAGTACTTATTTCCACAATTTAAATTATGATTGTTCAAACAATGTTAACAGCGACAAGGAATTTGTTCGATATTGTTCTTCCGGGACTCAACATGTTATTTGTATAACCTCAACTTGTTTTTATTATTTATAATAATTTCAATTGAAACTATTCAGTTTTGTTATAGATGAGTGACAAAACAGGTAGATTTTTAACTTGAAAGGACAGCCCTACTTACAGGCTAAATCATGGACCAATGTTTACGGTAATGTATGGCACGGTCGTAGCATGAAATTAAATGGCGCAGTTACCTTGTTTGAGGTTAAAGGTTGAAAAACGAAGATATGAATGTTTTAGGAAGAGTTTCTATGTGACAGATTAGTCAGTATAGTTTATCATTTTTATGAAAATGACGTCAATTTAAAATTCTCAGTTTCTTGTCGAAATACTTGATAATGATAGACACAATATTGTTTACAGTTATGTAGGGTATGACAGTAATAACATATAAAAAAACGAATATAAATGCTTTAACCCCTTCACGTTAGTACCGCTGAGTCAAGTTTTAAGGCAACTAGTTTGCGTTAAGTACCTGTCTTTGTAAAAATCATGCAGAGGGTGATTCATGACATGTCACAGCAGTATTTTTTTTTGGCCCTATATCATAAGAACTTTGGTAGATAAGTAAAATTCTGTCTTTATTTTCCCTGTATATTGCCCGTAGCCATGGTAAACATCAAAACAACATTTTGCCTGAATATGTGAAAAAAGACCCTTTTGAAAATTTAAAATAAGGGAATTTAAAGTCCCATGGAAATTTAGTTAATCAATAAAAACAGTAAGGGTTTTTACATTGTTAATAAACAAAACCCCAAACTATTCAAAAACGTTAAAATTTTGAATTTACCAAATAGTTTGTTTCCATAGCAACCATTTAAATATGTGTTAAAATTCGAAAATGAAAAATTTCAAAAACTCCTAAATTTTAAATGTGTTTATCTACCAAGACCAACAATACCATGACATTTCATTGACAAATTTTGAAAGACAACATTCTATATATTCATAAAATAAAAAGAAAGTCGTGTGTTTTTTTTTTCTTTAAAAAAATAATTTTAGTCAAAAATTGTCAATTTTCACCAAAATTCAGATTGCCAAACAGATGAATAATCAAACATTTTGAACTTAAAAAGCTAAAGCATTCCATTTATATGTGCATTTCTGACACAAATTTAGTAATTATAAATGAGAATATATTATTGATAGAGATATGTTGGTAGAGAATGAAACTTTTCTCCCTGGGCATTGCCCCCCCTTTTTTTTGAAAAAAAATCTTTTTTTTCAAAATTATATTTATCAAAAACTAAAAGAAAGATGGTATTAAATTCTGAACAATTTTGAGCATTGAAGCATGAAATTTCTTCAAAGGGTTAGTACCTCCTTCCCCATTTTTAGATATTAGATTTTTTTCAGAAATGGGGAATGTGTCAAAGAGACAACAATCCAACCAAACAACAGAAAACAGCCGAAAGGCTGATGACTGAATGAAGGATTGCTGCGTCCCTAAATACATTAAATACACTTGTTTTGTGCAAATTGAAATTTTTAGATGCTATTTCATGGTCTTGAAAATTAGCCTCTGTCGAAGTTTTATTTCAGTCTATGTCAAAAAAACTTAGTCTCAGACTGTCTTTAAATTTTAACTCTAAACAAGAGGCTCTTAAGAGCCTGAATCGATCACCTGTAATTTTTTGGTTAAATCTTTCATCAATGATTATTTGTTCTTTTCAATATATGTCAATGAGTGGCTTAAAAATTCCATTTACAGCTGATTTCAATGAGTGTGTAGCTAAAGGTAATATCTTTGGTTAGCTTGCTTGCTAGCTGAACCGTGAAGTCATTGTTAGGTAAGGTATACTACCCTTCATTCGAAGTAGCCAGTCCTACAGACAGATAGGTTGGTTTTCTGTCGGACTAGTCAACTCTTAAAGGAGGGTAGTTTACCTAAACCTTACAATGACTTCACGGTTCAGCTAGTAAGCAAGCTAACCAAAGATATTACCTTTGCCTACACACTCATTGAAATCGGCTGTAAATGGTCTTTGTATCTGTCATATTTTCTTCAAAAGCAAAAAAATGCATTTTACCCTTATGTTCCATTTTAGCCATAGTGGCTATGTTTCTTGAATTACAAGGAAATAAAATACAAAATTTATACTAAATACTCCCAAGTTTGGCTGAAACTGATTCAGCAGTTTCAGGAGAAGATTTTTTAAAGTAAGCAAACTAGACGAACAAATTGTGAAAAAAATCTTTAAAGGGCAATAACTCCTTAAGGGGTCAATTGACAATTTTGCTCATTAAACTTATTTGAAGATCTTACTTTGCTGAACTTTTTTGCTGTTTATAATATTCAAGATAATAACCAAAAACTGCAAAATTTCCTTATAATTACCAATTTAGTGGCAGCAACCCAACAATGGGTTGTTAGATTCATCTGAAAATTTTAGGGCTGATAGAACTTGACCTAATGAACATGTTTACCTACATCAGATTTGCTCTAAATGCTTCATAATCTGAAATCACATGAACACGAAACGGAGCTACGCCGGATGCGTCGACAGAGTAAGCGTCTACTGCTATGTATGCATAAAAATCTTCTCAATCAAGAATAAGACACTATCGGTTAGTTTTTTTTTGTTGTTTTTTGTTTTTATCTTAGAAGACATCTCTTGTATTTAAAGATCTAAGACCGCAAAAAATGTCGCTAGTGAACTTATACACAGACACATCGTATTAATCAACCAATTCGTGGTGGTAATCGTAAAAGCTATGTGGTGTCGATTTCAATAGTTTTTCATACTTACTTTGTTAAAGCATTTTTAGTGAAAGGAGAACATCCCGTTAAGGAAGTTTGTATTATGTGTACAGGCACGAGCGTAAAGTATTCCTTTGTTATATTTAGCTATAAAATAAAAAGACGCAGTCTAATTACAAACAAGCCAACTATCCAGCAGAATTCAAATAACGTAAATATCACCAATTGTAGGTCCCCGTATGATTATGAGGAAAATCAATACCGTATAGTCAACTATAAAAGGCCTGATTTATAAACAAAGCAATAAATGAAAAAAAATTATGATTAACAGAGGCAAAAGACATCCGCAAAATTGCATGCGCCTGGCTTTGGACAAGCACAAACCAAATCTAGCGGGGTTTAACTTGTTTGCAAGAGTCCAACCCTTCTCTAACATTGGACAGTGGTGTAACAATACGTTATTAGAACAAAATGAAAACATCAGTTAAAAACGGCATGACTCATCTGATCGACATCAACCATAAAAATAACTAAGAAATAGACTAAAGACATAAAGCACCGCTCTAAGAGTACTCGCAGTTACTAGAAACTAGTTCAAAGCCAAGTAAAACTAATCAATAAATCATGTTTCCCAGACTACAATAGTAATCAATACACATCCAGTGAAAAAAGTAAGGACGTTATAAACAGGATGAGAAAACACTACGGTAACCTTGTATAACGCCAAAATATAAATTTTGACAGGATGTAGAACCACTAGTGTTCCTAATTATGCAGAAATACATAGTTTTGTATTGTTTCCAAAAGTCAAATAACAAAAATACCGAACTCCGAGGAAAATTGAAAACGGAAAGTCCCTAATCAAATGGCAAAATCAAAAGCTCAAACTCATCAAACGAATGGATAACAACTGTCATATGCCTGACTTGGTACAAACATTTTCTTATGTAGAAAATGGTGGATTAAACCTGGTCTTATAGCTAGCTAAACCTCTCACTTGTATGACAGTCGCATAAAATTCCATTATATTGACAACGATGTGTGAACAAATCAAACAGACATAATAGGTAAAAAAGTCAAAAATAGGCAGCTCAAAATAGGGGTGCAATAGTCAACATTGTGTTTTAATCTTAATCACTATAAAAACAAACAAATATGTCAACAAAGAAAAACAAAAACGCATATAAATTATTGATAACAAATGCAATGCTAGAATCGATAAAAACAGCATTCAAAGTTAAATTATAGCGAACGAGTAAGGATATGACTTTTCGGATGTTTATTTGGCGAGAGATGATTTTCCAACATGCATCATGGTGTCTCGATTTCAAATTCACGCTACGAAAATTAAGAGGGCTAAATTTTTATTTAAATATTTTTTCACAATAATTAATTTATTAATTCATACGGACATTATAAACAGGTGTGTGCTCCAAACATCAAAACGTTTTCAACAGAGTTATAAAGAAGAACGACAAAAGTCGACATAACACAAATATTAAGGTCACCATCAACATCACAAGCGACATGTTTTTATGGTCTTATATTTTAAGATACAAGAATCGTTGCCTTATATGTTGATTAACCAATTATGTCCTATTCCTGATGGTGACATTTCTTAAGATTCGCATAGAAACCTTCATCTTGATTACGCGCATTCAAAACGAAGTAAAGTATTTACAGAGTATCAAAATCTGAGGTCCAATTAGCTAAAAGAAAATTTTGCCACTGTCAAATAACACACATTAAAGTAAGAAGACACTAAGCTTCCTTAAAAGAAATGTATGCAAAAGAAAAAATCAATACGATAAGATAAACAAAATAATTGCAGAGGGAGATAGAAAGCTACAGGCAATTCCTCGGGCGAGTGATTAGATATGATACAAAAAATGTAGTGCATTGCCGCATGTTCCCATGCCTGTCCAAAATCGGAATTCCGAACGTCATTATCAGGGGTTGACTTATGTCATATAATAATCTTTGTTTTAAAAATTTCGTGTTGATGTCGAATCTTTGATTTGATTTTGATTTTTGGTGTTTTAACGCCACTTTTAAGCACCGCTTTTGTGCTATTTCGTGGCGGCCAGTTTTTATTGGTGGAGGAAGCCGGAGTGCCCGGAGAAAACCACCGACCTTCGATAGGAAAACTGACAATCCTAGTCAATTAAGATTGGAGTCGAGTGCACCCGCACGAGCGGGGTTCGAACTCACAACCTCAGTGTTGACTGGCTAGTGATTACAGTAGTAACTACTTAGACCACTCGGCCACCGAGGCCCTCCTCGAATCTTTGAATGCATAATTATAAATTATCGA